GGAAACCCATGCTCCAACACAAGTAGACTCCAGAGCCACTGCTGCCTTGTGGGCACAGATGATTCAAGCCTGCTGGCTTTACTGCCCCAAGGGTACCCCCAACATGCTACTCAGTGCCAAGAGCCTGCCACCACACAGCCAAGTGAACCTCAGGCTCCAGACTTGCTATATTTTGGCACCAGGAGGCTTCCTTCCCCACAGAGCACAGAGGCCCACCACTCCTTACTGTCCCTAACAGCAACAGAGCCCCCTCTCCCCCTCCAAAGAACAAGAACACCAAATTCCATACTGAGGAAAGACATAACCTGCCACTCTGCAGGCGACACCAGAAGCCCAGTGCTTCACACTGCACCTCCCTGCAGAAAAGTCACATTTCTCCTGTCTAAGAGCTGGAACCCCAGCTACTCCACGGAGTGGCAATCCAGTACTCTGCTGGTGCTAGGAGGCCTGCCCCCCAGAGTGCACAGAGATCCAACACTGTGACTGCAGGAGAGTCCCCATGCCCCCATCAAAGAGCACAAACTCCAGAGGAAAGAAAAGAGGTAATCAACACCACAACAAGAACCCTGCAAGGGGTAACATATCCAGCATACCTCTGTCTGAGGAACACTGCTGGGAGTACCAGGAGAAAAAATTCAAAACCCCAACTAAAGGGGTGTAAGGGACCAAAACCCTAACTAAAAACAACTCCAGATGCATTAAATCTCAACTCAGAATGAAACAAAAGCCAATTCCACCATGGTTAAAAAATAATGAATTTCAAAAAAACAATAGTAAAAATGACTAACGACCTCAAAGAAGCAACACAAAAGTTAGTATATGACTTCAAAGAGAATGTTAATAAACAATTAAATGAGCTCAAAAGAGAATACAGACAAACAGATGAATAAAATTAAGAAGACTATCCAAGATATGAAAGAAGAAACCAATAAAGATATGGAAACCCTGACAAATAATCCGAAATAAACAACTCAATATTCCAAATAAATATCACAATTGAAAGCTAGGCCAACAGAGTGAAGCAAGTTAAAAATAGAGTATCATGAGCGGAAGACAAAGTAGAGGAATTACACCAAACAGTAAATGATCATAAAAGAATCCTAAGACAATACGAATGGAACATGCAAGATATCTGAGACACCACGAAAAGACCAAACCTATAAACCATGGGTGTAGAAGAAGAAGAGATACAAACTAAAGGCACTGCCAACCTATTCAATGTAATAATAGCAGAAAACTAACCTTAAGATAGAGTCACACAGGTAAAGGAACCTTACAACACCAAACCAACAGGACCAAAAAAGAAACACCCCCAGACACATCATAATCAAAACACTTGGCATACAGAACAAAGAAAGAATTCCGAAAGCTGCAAAAGAGAAAAAGACAAGTTACATACAAAGGCAAACACGCCAGAATAGCAGATTTCTCAAACTCTAAATGCAAGAAGGTCATGGAAAGACATAATTCAGGCCCTGAAAGAAAGCAACTGTTAACCTAGACTAGCATACCCAGCAAAACTATCCTTCCTAAATGAAGGAGAAACTAAAACCTTCCACAACAAGGAAAAACTAAAGGAATTTGTGACAAGTACTACAACAAGCCAGCACTACAGAAGATACTTACAGGACATTTACATGTAGAAGAAGAAACTAGTGTGAGACAGAAGACTCAAGAAAGAAAAACCCTTTTGAGCAAGAAGTCAAATTAACAAGGAATAGGTAAGACTAAACAAGAATGACCAGAAACAACAAGCACCTCTCAATATTAACACTGAATATAAATGGCCTCAATGCCCCACCAAAAGACATAGAATAGCAAACTAGATTAAAAGACAAGACTCAACCATATGTTGCTTACAAGAGACTGATCTCACTGAAAAAAAAATAAACACTGGCTTAGAGTCAAAGGCTGGAAAAAAGTTTTCCAAGCAAATGGACCCCATAAACAGGTAGGAGTAGCTATACTCTGACAAAGTAGACTTCAGACTAAAATCAATCAGGAGAGACAATGAAGGTCACTTCATATTAATTAAAGGAACAATTCATCAAGAGGGAACATCAATCCTTAGCATATAGGCACCACATACAAGGGCACCTGTCTACATGAAAAAAACTCTACTGGCCCTAGGAGCACTGATAGTCACTAACACAGACGTAGTGGGAGACCTGAATACCCCACTGTCACAAATAGATAGGTTGTCCAGATAAAAGATCAGCAAAGAAACTTCAGAGCTACTCCACACATTAGGCCAAATAGGTTGATATCTACAGAGTATTTCACCCAACAACTAGGCAATACACATTCTTTTCTGCTGCTCACGGAACTTTCTCCAAAATAGATCATATTGTAGGGCACAAAGCAAGTCTCAACAAATTCAAGAAAATCGAAGAAACTCCTTGCATTGTATCAGACCACAACAGAATAAAACTAGACCTCAATGACAAAAGAAATCCCAGAAAATATTCAAACACATGGAGACTGAACAACACACTGCTAAAAAACCTACGGGTGACCAAAGTAATGGGGAAGAAATCAAAAAGTTCCTGGAATTCAATGAAAATGAAATACAACCTACCAGAATCTGTGGGACACAGGAAAGGCCGTGCTACAGGAAAAAATTTAGCTGTAAGTGCTTACATTAAAAAAACAGAGACCTCTCAAATAAACAATCTAATGATATACCTTATACTCCTAGAAAAACAAGAACAGACCAAACCCAAAACCAGCAGATGGAGACAAAAAATAAAGAACAGGGCCAAGATCAATGAGATTAAAACTAAACAAAGCATACAAACAATTAATGAAACAAAGAGTTGGTTCTTTGAAAAGATTAACAAAATTGACAAACCCTAAGCCAACATGAGTAAATGGAGGAGGGAAGAAAGACCCAAGTTAATAAAATCAGAGGTAGAAAAGGGACATAACCACAAAAACCAATGAAATCCAGAGAATCATTAGAGAGTACTTTGAAAAATTATATTCAAGTAAACTGGAATATTTAGACAAAATGGATAAATTCCTAGATGTATATAATCAACCAAGATTGAACCAAGTAGGTATTAACCAGCTAAATAGTCCTATTACTTACAACAAAATTGAAGGAGTAATAAAGAGTCTCCCTACAAAGAAGAGCCCAGGACCTGATGGATTCATGGCCAGATTTTACCAAATCTTTACAAAGAATTAACACCAATACTCCTCAAACTCTTCCAGGAAACAGAAAGGGAAGGAACACTACCAAACTCATTCCATGAAGCCAGTATTGCACTCATTCCAAAATCAAACAGAGATGTAACCACACAAGAGAATTATAGACCAATATCCTTAATGAACACACACACAAAAATTCTCAACAAAATACTGGCAAACAGAATTCAACAACATGTCAAAAAGATCATAAACCATTACAAAGTCGGTTTCATTCCAGGGATGCATGAATGGTTCAACATATGTAAATCCATAAATGTAATACAGCATATAAACAGAAACAAGAACAAAAACCACATGATCCTCTCAATAAATACAGGAAAAAGCCTTTGACAAAATCTAACACCCTTTCATGATAAAAGCACTGAAGAAACTAAGAATAGAAGGAATGTTCCTCAACATAATAAAGGTTATATATGACAAACCCAGAACCAACATCATACTAAGTGGAGAACAATGGAAACCATTCCCCTTAAAGGCAGGAACAAAACAGGGCTGTCTGCTTTTTCCACTCCTATTCAATATAGTTTTGGAATTCCTAGCCAGAGCAATAAGACAAGAGCAAGAAACAAAAGGGATTCAAATGGGGAAGGAAGAATTCAAACTATTCCTATTTCCACATGACAGGATCCTATACCTAAGAGACCCCAAAAACTCTACCAAAAAAACACTAGAAATCATAAACTCTCTCAGCAAAGTAGCAGAACACAAAATTAACATACAGAAATCAGTAGCTTTTCTATATACCAACAATGCACAGACTGAGAAAGAAATCGGGGAAACAGTCCCATTTACAATAGCCTCAAAATCAATAAAGTACCTCAGAATAAATTTAATGAAAGAAACCAAAGACCTTTTTAATGAAAACTATAAGCTACTGAAGAGAGAACGCAAAGAAAACATCAGAAATGGAAAGACCTTCCATGCTCATAGATCAGTAGAATCAGCATTGTGAAAATGGCCACACTACCAAAAGCAATCTACATGTTCATCACAATCCCTATCAAAATCCCAATGACATTCTGCACAGAAATAGAAAAAAAATCGTGAAATACATATGGAAACACAAAAGATCTCAATTAGCCAAAGCAATTCTGAGCAAAAAGTCCAATGCTAGAGGCATCACAATACCTGACTTCAAACTATACTACAGAGCCATACCAATAAAAACAGCACGGTATTGGCACAAAACAGACAGGAAGACAAATGGATCAGAACACAATATCCAGACATAAACCCACACATCTATAGCCAACTGATCTTTGACAAAGTCACCCAATCCCCACGGTGGAGAAAAGACAGCCTCTTCAACAAATGCTACTGGTGGGAGGGAAAGTGTGAATGAAAGAGATTAAGGTGATAGTATATGGTTGATGGACTTCAAATATCTGTATCAAACAGAACTAACTCTTGCAATTGCTTTAAGTGGGATGGGAAGGAGGCTGAGGGGGAGAGACAATGGGGAATATAAATAATGTACAATGTAAGTCTATTTGAAATTGTCACTACAAATCCCCACCCCCCCAGCATATAATGAATATTTCCTAATAAAAATTTATTAAAAAAAAAAAAACTTTAAAACTTACATTCTTGTATATATCAAAATGGATCTGAATGTACTGAAATGAAACTTCATGCTGATAACAGAAGTTAGATTTACTCCTCTGAAGACAAACCTTAGTTAACCCTCTTGCTAAAATAAATCAACCAAAAGGAAGAACTTAGATCAAAAATTTTTATATTTCATTTGAGAATGACCACATTTCCATTTCTTAATACTTATTACTTACCTGAGACCATGGTCTGTGATCTGATAGCATCCAGACAGACTGAGAAACAAAAGTACACGTCCAGTCTCTTGATCAGATTTTTCACTCCCAAAATAAATTAAGTCATTTCCCCTAGGCAATGTAGTCCTTAATGCTTTTCTACACACTACAGAAGTCCCTGGGAGTGCAGACATAGTTCTTAAAGCTGTTCCTGTGCAACAGAATGAATGACCACAATATGTAAAGGCTGGAGAAGCACAATGCTGCTGCCAACAGACACTAGTCCTTAGTCCAACAATATCCTTACTGAAACAACCAGATGAGGAACAACCAAAGTTGGATGTTGTTTCTAATACACAGAGACTTTCAACATTTCGGTGTCTCCATTCTACAGTATCTTCAATATCGGCCAAATCTTCAGCATCTAACATCCACACATAAGGAGACGTGAAATTTTCAGAAGAAACAGGTTTAGTCCAAGTGTGTGCATTATCTATTTCTTCTCCAATGCCTTTGTTAGTTAAATCATGCAAACAGGCATACTGCTTGGTGGATTGCATGGTAATGTCTTTATTTTTCCATGTAGTAGAAGTAAATTTACTTGAAGTTTTCAAAAAGCCACTCTGATGAGATGTCAGAATTCCAAGAGCTCTGGAAATCTTCTCTAGAGCCACATCTGTGATTTTCTCACATCCAGACAGATCAAGATGCCGAAGACTCTGGCAGCAACCAAGCCAAGACCAACTATAATTAAGAGGTAAGAAGACTATTAGTGGATATTGTTAAATTTCCCAAAAGCATTTGACTACATGTATACAGATAAGTATTAGAAGAAAGATTTAAAATCTAATGTAACTACACAAGCATTTATTGAATATCTATTATCAGGCACTATTTTTAGTGGCAGGGATAAAAAAGATAGTAAGGGTAGTAATGAACTAATAACACTGCTAACTAACATGAGAGAATAAGGACAGGAGAGACCTAGTTTATCATGTTAAAAGGAAGCAGCAGAGGAGAGGCAATATACACATAAAAGCCAGTAATAACTAATGATTAATAGAGAAGGTAAAGAACAAACAAGCTCTGCTTAGCTAAAGAACGGTATAAGTCTCCCTCTGTGATAGGACATGCTCAGATAAGAAAAGTGGTTGCACTACGGGAAAGCTTGTAGTATCCAAGGAAGTATAATCTGCAAAAAGTGTAGCCTGAAGTGCTCCTGTACCAAAAAAACTGTTAAAATTAAAATGAGCTTTGCCAAATGGCACTTAAGAGTCCAAGTGAAATCGTAGAAACATCTAGTAGTTCAAGATGGTTACAAAGCAGGGCTCAAAGGTCTAGACACAGTACAAGATCACAGAGATGAAAAGATGATACAAAACTTTTGGATTAAGAAGAAGCTATGGATAAAAGACAAAAAAACTGGAGGTGCTACCAAGTTACAGTCATCTAGATTTATTAGTAAAAACAACAGTGTGATTAAATAGCAATTATGCAAATAAATTAAAATTACAGAACAATTCTACTGATCCATACTTAGAATTTATTATATTTAAGCATTTTAAAATAACTAACCTGTCAAATGCAGAATCTGAAATGTCAGTTTGGGTAAGATCCAGATGTTCCAGGTTAGGACAAAGCTCTAAAATCTGCCTAACCTACAAAGGGAAAAAGTCACTGTGAAGATCTGCAGACTTTCAGTTAAATAAGCAAAAGACAACAAGTTAACATAATCCAGTGGTTCTCAAACATGCAGATTTTAAATCATTCATATAGTGCATTACACACACACACACACACACACACACAACACACACACACACCACACACACACACACACACACACACACACACACACACACCCCAAGCTCAAAACTTAGTCTCTTGTAGTAGTTGTGACATTGGACCCAGGAAATCTGCATTTTTAAGGAATACCCAAGGCTGTTTTAATGTAAGAAGTCATAAAGAATACTCAAAGAGATTCTGATATGAGGTTGCACTTCTATAAAACAGTGATTTCATCTCAGTTGTCCATCTTACCATGCCTTACATATAATAAAGAATCACATAAAACTGGGCTTTATCACGTAACATATAGGAAACTGAGTAAAACATTTAACCTCTCATAGTCTCAGTTACCTTATCTATAGTATGTGAGCAATGTTATCTACATTACAAAGGTGGTCATAAGAAGTGAAATAATTTGAAAGCTAGCAGTGCATACCTACCCAAGGGAAGGTACTCAATTATTCTTTTTCACTTAATTGAACTCTTTTTCACTTAATTTCACTTAATTGAATTTGCAAATCAAAATTCTATCACTGTTATGTTTTTTAATACACAAACTAGTGTTAATTTATACATACCATTTTGCTGGAAACTGCACAGCTGTATGCTAACACTAAAGTTTTTACAGAAGTACCAACATATGGTAGAACATTATGAATTAAACCATGGAGTAAACGTTTTTCCATTTGTGCAATGCTGATAGCAATTGATTCCTCTGCAGACTCTTCTGTAAAATAATTCAAACATCCAAAGAACTTAATAAATTAATTATAATTAGGCTATTAGAGACTCATAGAATCATTAAATGTAAAATACTTTGTGCTGTCTTTAAACTCCTTTCTGCAAACAATTCTAATTTTAGGCAATGAAAAGATTGCTGAACACTGAAAAAATAGCAAAAAATTCTTCAAAAGAATAGAAAAGTGCCGGCATTGGTGCCCCACTCCTGTAATCCTAGCTATTTGAGAAACTGAGATTAGAAGGACAGTCAGGTTGAGGCCAGCACAGGGAAATAATTCACAAGACCCCCATCTCCAAAACAACCAGAGCAAAATGGACTGTAGGTATGGCTCAAGGGGTAGAGTGCCTGCTTTGCAAGCATGAAGCCTGAGTTCAAATCCCAGGACCACAAAAAAAGTATGACTTCAAAGGAATAAACGATCCATAAATAACATCAGTTATTGTGCCTAAATAAAAAAGACAAAGAAGAAATTTGAAACTGAACTCAATTAGTCTGATCAAAAAAAAATCAAACAAAAGAAAGTACCACAGAAATGTGAAGTAGTTAAAATTGAGTATAGCTTTTGAATTTTTAGCAACATCTATGAAGATTAGATATTTACAACAGGTTATACTACTACAACCACCACCACAAGAAACCATGGAGCTGGAGATGTTAACTCAGCGGCAGACTGCTTCTGCAGCATGTGTGAAGCAGTGGGTTCAATCTCCAACACCACACTCACTGCACCAAAAAGGAAAAACTGTATTTTGATCACCTTTTTCAGAATCTTATTGCTGTGCTTACCTTAATGCCTAACTTGAATGCTTTACGAAAAATAAAGCTGCTTAACAGACTAAGGAAGACTTAATTAAAATAAAATGGAGCATAAACACCAAAGGAATATAAATAAAAAGAATTACCAAATGTTTTACTACTGATTTCCTATTTATCGATATTAGCTTAAATTCCTCCTTTAGCCAGACATATAAATGAAATATAAATTAAAATTACTTTAGTAAACCTTACTTATTCTACTATAAAATTTTATTGCTAAGCCATTCTTCTGAGTTTTTTGGCCCTCCCTACCTGAATGTATATTGTTTATTTTAGAAAATCTTTAAAAATTAAATATCCTGTGAAGAATAGTAGTTTTTCTGCAAGATAAGCAAAGACTGCTAACTTGGAGGCCAGGTGCCCAATGGCTCATGCACATAAACCCAGCTCCTTAGAAGGCAGAGATAGGAGGACTGCAAATTGGGGCCAGCCTGGGCAAAAACATAAGACCTTATCTGAAAAAATAACTAAAGCAAAAAGGGCAGGGAGCACAGCTCAAGTGGTAGAGTGCATGCCTAGCAAGCACTAAGTTCAAATCCCAGTACTGCCCCCTGTACTGCTAACCTGAAAAAGCACTGAAGCAGGTGAAAGATTCAAAGTTTAGTCTTAAGTCTTTTTAATCAACTGAATTGATGTAATATCTTAGAAAGGCTTCATCTGTGTGTGTGTGTGTGTGTGTGTGTGTGTACGCGCGTGCATGTGCACTGTGGATCAACCCAGGCCCTTGAACGTGCTAAGCATGTGTTCTACCACTGAGCTGCAACCCCAGCCTTAGGCTCAATCTTGACAGTTTTAACCTTTCCTTTTCAATATGTAGGAAAAAGATGGTCATCCCTTTGCTGTCTTGGAGTGTTGAGACAAACATAGTAAGTTTTGTTAGGAAGACATTTAAATTCCTATCATGGGTATTATCAATTTTCCCAGAAAAGATTAAGTTTTCCCTAAGGTGATATCGAAGCAAAGAACTTCATCTCCTTCAGTTCTTTACTCAAATTCTTCCAAGAACCTAAACAATCACTCTACCTAAAACTGCAACCTTTCTCCCTCGTTCTGGCATCTTTTCCATTCATTATTTTCTCTACAACACTTGTAGAGAAGTATATATTTTAATAGAATATGTATTTTGCCTGTATTTCTTATCTGCCTCTCCAATTCTTAGGCTCAACAAAAACAGCATTTTTTTGTTCGATTTTGTTCACCATTACATACACATATGTATGTAATTACAAACTCATACCTAGAACAGTGCCTGCCACAGGGAAGCACATGGCTACACCCTTCATGAAAATAAATCTCTTCCTCATGAAGGACCTTCCAAACTTTCAAAACCATTCCAAAATGTGACTTTTTCATTTAAAAGAAAAAAAAAACTTTAGCTGCTAAAATACTAATCTTTGTACTTATTAGTTCTTATGGTCCATGTTTACATATTTCACCAAACTAGCCTACTGTTTTTAAGTAGGAAGCTGTAGAAATTTACCTACAGCTTCAGTTTTATTAAACAGAATATCTCATCTGACCAGACAAGGTGGCAAATGCCTGTAATTCTAGCACGTGAGAAGGTGAGGAGGAGGATCATAGGTTCAAGACAAGCTTGGGCTACACAGGGAGAACTAAATCAATCCCCACAAAAAGATCTCATTTGTTAATCTTCTACTATTTCACTGTTTTTTTAATAATTACATTATCTAGAACTTATGTCTTCCTCTTTCATATACCAAAATAACATCTCTGTACTTCTACTACAGCATTTTTTCATTATGTACCTTGGATTAAGAATTATGTACTCAATTTTCCATGACTTCTGAGTTTTTTAAGGGTAGCTTTCCCACATTACCTACTATCTGGCTCTCCTTATATTTGTGTGGTAAAGCAAAGAATTTTCATATATGAAGCTTTTTTCTCTCTGTGATGTGGGGAACTGAACCCTGACCAGGCCCTTACACATGTTAGGCAAGTGCTACACCACTGAGCTTCCTATTTCACCCCAGCCTAGATTCCACAGCAACCTTAGGAGGGACGTTAAGACTTTACAAATGAATATACTCAACAGCTGTATGTTGCCTTCTTCTGGGAAACACTGACTCAATGAAGTGACATGAGTTCTGATAAAATGATTAACCAAAAAGGCCCTAAAAAGCATATTGTAAATTATAAAGCACTATAATGAATGTATTTTACTTCCATAGAGAAAGTAGTCATCATTTTCTGGTTTTTAATTTTAATATTAAAAATTAGGAGGGCCAGACATGGTAACTCAAACCTGTAATCCTAGCTACTCAGGAGGCAGAGATAGGAGGATCATGGTCTGAGGCCAGCCTAGGTAAAAAGTTTGTTAGACCCCATCTCAACCAAAGAATGGCTGGGAGCTGTGGCATGCCTGTCATCCAGCTATGGCAGGGAAACACAAACAGGAGGATCAAAGTTCAGGCCAGCTTGGGCATAAAACAAGACCCTACCTCAAAAATAACCAATACAAAAAGGGCTGGCTGAGTGGCTCAAGTGATAGCATGTCTGTCTAGCAAGTTAGCAAGTGTGAGGCCCTGAATTCAAACCCCTGTACTGAAAACAAACCACAGGGGAAAACACACTACATATATTTAAAAAAACACTTCAAACACAATAAATCTTAAATTTGCCTTTTATACTCCAAATTTTTAAAAAGCAGTAAACTTAAAAACAAGTTTCTTCAGAAAACAAAACCCACAAAATACACAAATTTTTAATATCTAGTAATTATTAAATATAATGTGCTATTAAAACACCATGAAATAATGTAACTCCAGGCATGACTTACCAGATTCATCTATGTCAGCATCTTCATCCCACTCCTGAAAAGCACGACTTTCATCTTTCCTACTTTTCACCCATTCCTCATCTGGCTCAGTATCAAGTTCAGTGGCAGGACCACTGTACCAGTCACCTACAATGAATAAACAATTAAGAGTAAGAGTACATTGTCTACCATTACCAAAATAATGCATTTACACTAAAATCTCTACATGCAAGAAATATATCAGTTCCAGGAAATGGGACAGCTATTTTTAGGAATATTTAGTTATGGTTTAAAAAGTTATACTTAAATAAGCAAAGGATTCAATTTCAAGAACACTGAAAATAAACTGTGACTATTACAGTTCAGTTAACAATACTAATTAATTAACAGTTGGTATTATCCCAAAGTAAATCTCCCTAAAACTAAGGAAACAGAACTACAAAAAAACTTTAATTTTCTATATATCTGCCTGCTATGTACCTACTCTACATAAGAAGGTTTTCAATTTTACCTTTTAAGGGCTGGAGGCTTGGCTCAAGTGGTAAAGCACCTGCCTAACTAGTGAGAGGCCTTGAGTTCAAACCTCAGTACTGCCAAAAAAAAAAAAAAAAAAAATTTTACCTTTTAGGGAAATAAGCTTAATGATTACCTTCCCACTTCAAAGAAAAATTATTATTAGCCTTACATGCAATTTTTAAAATCATTGAAACTGACCTAATCTTTTTTCCCTACCATGTTTTCACACTGGCTCCAGAATAATCTCATTACAATGACGCTAATTAAACAAAAGGAAGCAGGACTTTGTAATCATTAGTGAATCAGTCAGCAATTCAAAAGTAGGTAGGAACAAAAGTCAAAGAAAAAAACTAAGGTAAAGTAAATCCATAAATAAATACTTTATATACTTAAGTGAAATAGATCAATGAAACCTGCTGCAATCATTTAAAGTAGGGGAGAGGGACATGAGAGAGAGATGGTGGGGTGAACCTAACCTTACAATGCTTACATTGTAAGCCTATATGGAAATGCCACAATGAATTCCCCCTGCATGACTAGTATCTGCTAATAAAAATGCTTAAAAATTTTATAGATCCTAGAGAACATATTATAACCAAAGAATATGATCATGAAACCAAGAGACAAGAAAGAATTTACTAAAATCTTAACATTATATTTACTTTAGGTTTCTCAACCTAGACAACATTGACATTTTAGGCTGAGTAACTCTTTGACACGGAGGAGCAGACAAATTGATTGTAGGGTGCTTAGGACCAACTAGATGATAGTCCACTACTCAAAAATGGAACAAGAAAAAATGTCTCCAGACATTTCAAATGTCTGAGAGGGGGGTCAAAATCAATGAAATACCATGAATAATTAAAAATCATTTCACTGAACATTTTGTTTAAATGTTTTTAGAAAGTGTAAGATCTGAGTGACTTCATGGAAGTTAGCACAGCATTCTCACATTTGATGATGTATCAAATTGTATCTAATTATGTTTTTCTTAATAACTCTTAATTAAAAACAGCTGAACAAAAAGTATTCACTACATCCGTAGTTGCCTTATTTTACTTTTTAGCTATTTCATTATTCTACAACTAACAGGAAAAAAATAATCCACGTAAAAATAATTCTATTACCTGGGTTATATTAGTCTACCCAATATATCAAATATCTTCACTCAAAAAAATATTAAATATCTAACAACAGCTTATTTTAAAAATTCTGCAAGTCAAATGTGACGGCAGGGTTTTAATTCCAGCACTTGGGAGGCTGAGGCAGGAAGACAGTAAGTTAGAGGCTAGCCTGAGCTGCATGGTACAAATCTCATTCCCTTCATTCCCCTCAAAAATAATAACAAACTTTTACAATAAGACTCACAATTTATATTAGACAAAATCATGTGAGACTATTAAAGTTACCTATAATAGAAAACTATAAAAAATTAATATGAATTTTGAAGTTAATACTAACTAGAAGAACTGTTTTAGTTCAGTAACAGAAAAATATATACCGCATTAAATAGCTGCATATATGCCATGATTGCATTATATGTTCAGGGAAAGAACATTTTCTTTAATTGTCCATATGTTAAAGGTAACTTACCACAGTGAAATTTTGGTTTAGAGAATGAGGCATTACTAACCACATACAAAAAAAAAAGATGCTAAATACAAGATTAACAGATACTTTGAGCCACAACCAAAAGGAAGCCATAATGATGTATCATCTTTAAATTTTTAGAGTTTATTCTGTTTTTTTTAAAATACTCAATCCAATTATTTAAAGCATTCTGAAAACCAATTATACTTATTTTTAAGTCTTTACTATGAAGAATTGTACACATTACATAGTCTGTAGAAAGAACCAGTAAGTATAATGAATCCCAGTCACCTACTACCTGTCTTTAATGATTATCAACATTTTGCCAATTTTTTTTATTCCTTCCAACTTTTTTCCTAATTATTCTAAATAACTTATCCATGAATACTTTAGCATTGTTAGCTTTTATAAAATGTATACCAAAAATATATCACCTAACTACAAAATCTACTTTTGGTCAAGTTCTCAGTCCCCTTCCTGGCCTTACTCATTAATGGCTGTGAATATTTATCCAGGAATGCAGATTGAAAATTTTTTTTTTTAAATTAAAATCCCATTTACCTACCTCTGGCCCAATGAACAGGGTAAAGATGCTTCCACAGCGATCCAGTTTTTGCCAGCTGAGACCATTTAGTGCTAACTTGACTGCATCGACATAATTCTTGAGGATTAAGGTAACTGAAAATTGACAGCATTACCTCAGGAGGAAGATGAGTTATACCTATGGAGTGTTCTGACACTTCTGCTTCTGAAATAAAGAAGAAAGATTTAGCAGTAAAGGCTACAAGAGCAAATACAGTAAGAAGTCACAATCACATTTCTGTAAGTAAAATTCAGTGCCTGAAATTAATTCCTTCCTGCTTGCAAGATGTAAAAAGGAAGTAACACGTAGTAGAGGTAACATGGAGATGTTAAACTTGCTAAGAACCTGTAGGGTTAAACTATCATGGCCCAGATCATACTTCATCAGTAGAACAACAATAATGAACACAGAATTGACTTCCTCTTACAAAGGCATCAGATAAAAAAAAGACAATACTCACTTTGTAGCATCATTCGAAAAAGGAGTCAAACAGGTTATACAACTTTAAATTAACAACAGTAGAGTCAGCTAGATTATGAGAGCTCCAAGAAATCTTTAATGACACATACAAATCTCACAACACTCTCTACGCAGGCATAATGACCCCTGTTAGCACCTTCCTTGTGCTCCCTCTTTGAATTTCACATTTCAAATAAAAAAGAAAGATAAAAGATCTATAAAATCTAATTTGAGCCTGCAGATGGCTTAACCTACTTAAATTATTTATACACTAGTTGAGATGACATACTTACTTCTGATGCATTGATAAGAAATCTTTATAGCAAGTATTGTGGAAAGTCAATGGATATACAATTTATTGTAACTTACCATGTCAGTAGCAATTTTGTGAAAGAAAAATGAGGAGTGTTACAATAATGTATAAAATATTTATCTCTAAGCCAGGTACCAGTGCCTCACACCTGTAATCCTAGCTACTTGGGAGACTGATATCAAATAGCTCCATAGGAGGCCAGGCTGGGGAAATAGTTCTAGAGACCCCCATTTCCAAAATAACAAGGGCAAAATGAACTGAAGGTTTGGCTCAAATAGTAAAGCACCTGCTTCACAAGTGTGAAAGCCCTCAGTTCAAACTCCAGTCACACACACACACACAAAATTCTCTAAAATACTATGGATTATTTGAGTACCTTGTATATCTGATTTGACTTCACAAAGCAACTTAAATATAGAAATGCAATGATCAAATTACTTTAAACTGCCACTTTTTAAATGCCAAATGTTTTAAACATAATGCAACTATAATTTGCTTTGAAGGAGTGGGAAAATTAAATACAGTAAGTGTGATGCTTTTAAATCCCATATTATAATTATAATTAAACAAGACACAGCAGGTTTTCGCTTGGTATCTAAGGCACAAGCTATACTTCAGAGTAAAGCTGACAAGCTTTATGGGTTTAATCATAGCTTAACTTACATCATTTTGTTTCAACATGATGAAATTTTGTTAAAATATGAAAAAAGGATCAAATTCACAAAATTGTATGCTATTTTAACAGGAATGACATTGCTACTGTCCACCTACAAGAAGCCAAAAGAATTTTTACTAGCCTAAGAATGTCAACTGCTTTTTTAATGATATTTTAAAAGGCAAACCTATTGAGATAAATAAGAATAAAAAATAAGGAAGTAGCCTATTAAGAAAAAAAGGCAGGCATATTTTATTTGCATTTCTCACTTGTATTCTAGAAGTAAGTGTACACAGAAAAAGTACCTCTCCTACTCACTACTCTGAATATTACTAGAATTAAATGGAGACAATGATAAACAGCAAAGGATGAAAATAAAGCTACAGATGCTCCTTTGTTTACAAAGAGGTTACATCACAATGAAGCCATAGTAAGTTAAATACGTCCAAGAGCAAAAATACATTAAATATATCTAGCCTACCAAACATCATACTTAAAAACAGTACTACGAAGTATCATTTGTTTCCCCTGGTGACCACATGGCTGCTCCATATTGCAAGAGAATATCATGCAGCATACAGGTAACCCAAGAAAAGATCCAAATTCAAAATTTGAAGTATAATATGTGAACTGCTTTTGTGCTATTTAAAAGTCAAAACCTTGTAAGTGAAACCATGGTAAGTCATGGACCGTATGTTTTAACATAACTGATTTTGAAAACTGATGAAAAAACACAAGGAAAGATAAAGGCAGCCACTATAGTCAATGGAACTCAGAAAGTCGGATAATAGTTCAAAAGTGCTCTGAACATGATAGTTCTCAATTTTGATGGGTCACAGTAACAACAGTAACTGTAATTATTGTGTATATATAAATTTATTCAAGAAAGCCAGGTGTCGGTGGCTCATGTGGCTCGTGCCTATAATCCTAGCTATTTGGGAGAATGAGATCAGGAGGATTGTGATTACAGGCCAGCCAGGCAAATAGTTCTCAAGACCCCCATCTCCAAAATAACCAGAGCAAAATGGATTGGAGGTGGGGCTCAAATGCTAAAGCTTTGCAAGGGGGAAGCCCCAAGTGTAAACCCTAGTTCCACCAAGGAAAAAAAAAAAAACCTCATTCAAGGAACACTATTGCATACGGCCCACGTATATGTTAGATTACCATAAACACTAAATTCTGAAGTAGAAACTACTGTCTTCAATTACATTTACATGTGAAAATAAGGTTTCAACTGACCACGGTGCAAGCCTGACTTAAATTACAAAATTGGCAATTCATAACAAGGTAGCAGTGGCCTTGAATAAGTAAACTGATAAATTAATCTCACCTGTATCTGATTTTTCATCCACTGAATATTTGAAAAACTTCTGTCGCTCTTCAGTTTGATTCCATAGGCTAAGACCTCTAAGCAGTTCTGCTGTATCCTTCTGAGAGCAGTGTTGGGCAATCACTTTCTTCTTAATATCCTTAAGCTCTTCATAGGTAAAATACTCCATTAACATGGGCTGAAAAACCTAAATTGAACAGAATGTAACAAAATGCTCATGAGGAAAGATGCTTATTAGTTTTGTTTTGCTCTGTACCCTTTCAATTGTTAATGGTTCCAGTGTAGTATTATGAACATATGCATCAAAGAATTTAGTTATTAATGTTAAGTTAGTTTATACAAAAACTACAAAGAATATTGCCAAAAAAGTTCCTTCTGTCTATAGTTTCTCCAACTAGTAAGTCAGGCCATAAGCAATTTTAAAGCATTACAAGATTTTCCTGTATAGAATTTGCCAAAGACTCTTAATCCTTCTCTTATTGTTAGACATTTTAGACCAGTTAATTACCTTCCGGTAGGTATTAAGTAACTGAATTCTACCCAAATAGAGCCTTTACCTCAAATAACAATGTTACCAATATACTGGAAACATAAAAATCACAACTCTACTGAAGTCTTTTCTGGACTTTGAAGATGTTTCCTCAAATCATTACTTTACTACAGTGATTCGTATGAAACTGATCCATGGCTCCAATTTATAGTATAATCTTTAGAGGATGAAATAAGGCTGGTTTTTTTTCATTGTTTTTAGTTCCACAGATAATTTTAATGGGTATCACAGGTTAAGAAATATTGCTACAATAAGTGATTTGAATGCTGGCTACGTATTACAATGAGCTGGGGAACCCTGACAAACTACCATGCCAATGCCTCCCATATGGATTAATTGGTCTTAGAAGAGCTTAAGAAGTAGGCTCTATTTTATTCTTAATTAAGAATCTAATTACAAGGTGAAGCCACAGTTGAGAATCACTATAGTAACTGAGTTACAGCTGAAAAACCATGCAACTTCCATAGAATACTGTCATGGTATCTATTCCTGATTATCATCCCATGATAGAGAAAAAAAAGAAAATTTTGCCCATCTGTTTAATGATAGCCTAATACATATGTGTATTAAACCTAACACTGATAAATTTGAACTAAAATTTAACTACTGAAGCCTACTACTGAAAAAGAAACTAAACATTCTTTAAACTTATCATACAGAAAATATCTAAAGACTTACAGAGTCCTTTAAAGATTCTGAAAAATATTAGGGTGATGTAAAGTTAACAGTGTCATCAACACATATGCATTTCTTGAATAAATAAAATTATTTGTTCAGTAAGAACAACCTTTCTAAGGAAATAAAACTAAAGCTCCCAAAAGGAACTGGAAGCTTCTCTCCATAAACTGGCTACATCTTTCTATACATTATTTTGTAGAACCTAAGGCAAAACAGTGTTTTAAAAATTTTATAAATCTAAATGACAATGAGGAAAAATAATTCTTACCTCTTCTTCCTCTTTCATGTGAGGAAGAAAATCTCTTGTAAAAGCTTCCAATCTTTCTTTCAGCTGTTTTGCATAATTTAACTGCTCATATTCATTCTGGAAACAAAAAATTGTGTATTTTTGGGAAAGTTTTTCTTCATTTATATTGTGCCTGATCCCAGGAAGTCAATTTAACTTTCAGCTATTTCAACATAAAACCTCAGAACAAAACACACAGAGCAAAGTGGTCTCTATACTTGTTGTATACAAGACGTCCTTAGGGGAAGGGGTACAGCTCAGTGGTAGAAAGCTTACCTAACATGCTTAAGGCCTTAGGTTCAATCCCTAGCACTGCAAAAACAAATGAACAAACAAACAAAAACATCCTAAGAATAATATGCTTTGAATTTTTTCTTTAGTAATCTGATCTCAATTCTTTTTTTTTTAAATCTCATTAAAAAGTCTAAAAATAGCCGGTATCTACTCAAAAACTTCTATTAATTTGATTGATGTTATATAATCTTATATGTCAGTTTTCTCTATTAACTTTGAATATTCTATATGATACTGGATGTATCATAACATAATCCAATTAAGAGCTATTGCATATAACCTAATCTAATCTAGTATATTCGCTACTAAAAAAATTCAGGAACTTTTTTTTTTTTATTTACCCTGACAAAATGTACACACCTTAGTATCAACACACCTTCTAAAGGCAAGGGTCTTAGTACAATTTAAAATAAATCATTCCAATTTTAGACAACTCTCAACAGCTACAAACTCATACGAACTAACACCATTTCTCCCTGTAACTTATCCACCTCTTCTGTACCTATCCTCTCAAAAGTGTAGAAAACTTACAGTATAATGAAATCTAAAAAAACAAACATGGGACTATTTCATCCCTGTTGAATCCTGTCTCCTCTTTTCCTTATTCAACTGTTTCTATTTAATTCAAACTTATATTCTTTTTTTGGTTTTTTGAGACAGCATCTCACTATATAGCTCAGACTGGCCTCAAACTTAACAATCTTCTTGCCTCACTCTCCCTACAATGTTGTTTCTTAAGCATGCCCACATGGTTTCCAATTCCACATATATCCTAACAATACATTTTCTTTTCTACACCAGATCATTCTTATGCCCTTCAAACCCAGCTATGCCTTCTCCTCCTATTAATAAATGTCTACCTGAATTACACAGTAGTTCAAATCTAATGTGTCCAGAACAGATTGTATTTCTTCACTCTCTTCTGTTTGGCCTAGAAAGTCAGGTTCAATCCTCATTCATTTCTTTTTCTCTTTTCTCCCTCCTTTTATATACAATCATTGCTTTCTATGACTGTTAAGGATCTCCCTTCCCCTCTACATCCACTAGTCACTACTTTGGTTCAGATCTTCTGAACAGGTAATACATGAATATGGTATAAAATTAAAGGTGTATTCAACAGAAAAGTAAATCTCCCCTCCCTTCCATCAGCCACCCTATTCAATCTCTTACCTCCCTATCAAGTAGCTACTCAGTATGCCTCTGAAGATTAGAACAATTTTTTAATACTAATCTTCCTGTTCAGTTTTTCTTTTCTTCAACCATCTTCCTCCCTGATGAACAGCCTTTTTTGTGTGTGTGGTACTGGGGCTCAAACACAGAGCCTACACCTTGAGCCACTCCACCAGTCCTTTTTGTGAAGGATTTTTTTCAAGATAGGGTCTCGAGAACTATTTGCCAAGGCTGTCTTCAAACTGCTATCCTCCTGATCTTGGCCTTCTTAGTACCTAAGGATAATAGGTGTGAGCCAATGGCACCCAGCTTGAATAGCCTTTCTAGAACAAAATCTCTAAGTGATAGGTGCATGGTGGTTTGACAGAGTTGTAGTGTAAGCCTATGCATCCCTGAACTGAAAGGGAAGTAACATCAAATTTCTATACCCTATAATTCATAAATTTAATTAAAAAGAAAATGTCTATATCATTATCCCAAACTATACTCAAAAGTGCCTTTCACTTTATATTGTACAACTGAAATTATCTTATATAACTACCTTGCTTCCAATAATAAGAAAAAATAAAATACAACAAACATTACAGTTGATGTTCAAGTCTTGTTTCTTGTTGTTGTTTTGCAGGGGATTAAACCCAAAGCCTCATACATTCTAGGCAAGAGCTCTACTACTGAGCTACATCCCCAACCCTCAATTTTAAATTAAATAAAATTTATAAAATTCAACTGTTTATTCATTCTAAGTAACAATTTTACCTTAAGTCATCAGTAATCTGCATTATTAGCTTTCCTTTAAGAATTCAGCAAATGTTAACAAAATATAACAAGTTCATGGTAATTAAAATTTCAACTTATAAAAACAACTTTAAAACTTGGTGAGCACAATTCTCTATAAATTTTTATTAAACAGTAATAAAGCAGCAACTGACAAACACTGTAGCCAAACCTAAGCCAGGCTCTTCTCCACTAGGGTCTGACCTTAGACGTGTTAGTCTAGTTTTAGCAAGAATCCTCCTTAGTTGGTCTAACAAAAATCCTTTGCCCTTGGTATTTGAACAGTTCAATATCTTAACAAATTCCTTGCTACCATCCTCCTCAGTACCTTACTCTCCTGGCCTGCCTTCAGCAAAAATCCTATTTATTTATCGAGAATCCTCCTGGCCTTGATGCTTCCCATCAGTAATTTTTCCACACACTGACCCCTCTACCTGTCTCCCCAGGTATAAACCATTACTTGTCCTTATATTCAAATGAACCAGATTTCTCTTTCTTACTGTAAGCCTCCACTGAAATCAGTCCTCTGGAATAGTCTTTCTAGTCATCATCAACAAGAAAAATATTTTTCTTTAAAATAGTAGCATTGACTATAAATTGTTAATAAGTTTTGCCATGTTATTTGTCAATAACATGACCAGATGGCACAACTTGTAATACTAACACACCAAGTTTTCCAACTTACCTTAACATTCTTCAGTCCCTTTTCAAAAAGGCTAAGCATCTCAGATAGTTTATTGTCAGAATGGACATTATAAATGGTCTGACTGCGTTGCTGAAGCAAACCAATAATGTACTCATTTTCAATCTGCTCATGCATTTTGAACTCCTTGAAAGTAGCATACAAAGACTGCAGAAGAGCACGGAAATCATTGTTGTTTGAAAAGTTGGTTTTAGAAAGCTAAAAAAAAACAGAAAGAAAAGGCATATAAATACATGCAAACATGAAACAATATACCAGTAAGAAGCATTCAAATGTATTCCTATTTACTTTTTTACACAGCAATATATTTCCCTTATACTTGGCTATGTTAAGTACAAATAAATTAACAAGTTATAATTTAGAAGTACACTATGCCAGGAAATAGTGGATTGCATTGTGAAGGACTTAGTGATACAGAAAAATGAAGCACGCATAAGTCACATAGTTTCTTTAAATAAAAAAGAATTTGACGTGGTTCCCTCCAAACCTAAACTCCTATTACTTTGTACGTATCAAAAATACAGGCAGGTACATCCCAAAGACATACATAAACATTAACAGAGTTAAGTTAGAGTAATGGTGTAAGTGCTTTGTTCTTTGTTTAGAATGTTCTATATGCTATTATACTACTTATAAAATTTAAAAATTCAGAAATATTCTATTGTAGCTTGTTTAAACTTTATTATCAAAATGAAAAAGGTCTGTCTGGAAATATAAAACATTAGCACATGACTAGATAATTTAAGGAAGCTATTTTTTTTTAAGAAAATGGATATAAATGCTTAATAGCTTATATAGGAAATCATCTACTTATCTGAGCTGGAGGCCTTACAATAGTGCAATGCAGAAACTTAATACACCAGAACATGAGAAAGTAAATCCACTTGAAGAAAAGATACAAATCAATGAAAATATGGAGAAATATACCATCATTTTCTTTTAATTCTAGTATTCAACAAGAGAAAGAAAGAAATTTAGAATTCCTGTACAACTCTTATATATACTTGGTGGCAAATTCTAATATTTAAAAACACATTATCAAAAAACTTGTTTCAAGTTAAAAAATTCAAAATAACAGTCAAATCCTCCATACTCTATATTAAATCTGCCTTATACCCATCCTAGCTTCAAATTTTATAGGGGAAACAATTAGATTAAATACACCCGGTAGATAAACAAGAGGCAAATGCTAACAACATGCTTATAGTCTTGCTTTCTAAAGTCTTATCTAGTATTTCTAAAATGGAGCACAATCTAAGCTGTTATACTAGCCTGTTCACAGCAAAAACTGTGGTCTAGGTGACAGCACAGAAAAAGGTGACACAAACTCCTAAAGCAATTCCACTGCATATAACAGAACTAAGTTTTTTCTACAAAATGCAGACTGATTAACAATAAGAGTGACAGAGAACTGACCCTTGACTCAGATTCCTAGGATTTGATGCCAGTTCTACCATTTATTTAGTGTGTAAACTGACCAAAGTTACTTTTCTCTCTCAGTATCTTCGTTTCTTCTTGGTGTTAAATGGGAATAAAACACCTATACTTTACATGGGTGGATGAGTTATCATCATTTTGAAAATTAAGTCATTCATTTTTTATAAATTCATGCACTTTTTACTCTAGCTACTGAGTAGCTATTATGAGCCAGGCACTGTTCCTGGTAATTAAGACACATGAGTAAACAAAATGAAGACTTCTGTCTTTATGGAGTTTACACTTTTACAAAGAGAAATTAATAAAAAAAAAAAAAAAAGTTAACCTAAATACATGAGTAATTACCTAGAACAGGGTTTAGCAATTTTCTACAAAGGGCCACACAGTAACTATTTAACTTTTGCAGAGCACATGATCTGCAGTGACCACTTAACTCATCTGCTGCAGTGTAAAAAGTAGCCACAGACAACATGTACACAAACTGTGGTTGCATTTCCATAAAATTTTGCATTTATGGACAATGAAATTTAATATTTATCTAACTTTTCACATGTCACAAAATAGTCCTTTAATTTTTTTCAACCATGTAACAATGTAAAAACAACTCTTAGCTTTTGAGCCATCTAACAAAAGTACACAGAGCAGATGTGCTCAAATTCATGTATATATTTTAAATGCTAAGAAATGCCACACCAGATTATGACAAAATTCATTAGTGACTGATAGCTGGATGTGGAATATTATGTGTTATTTTACTTAACTAAAGAAAGATAAAAAGGAAAAAATCTTTGAAAATATTTCTTAATAGAAATATGACATAAATCAAAAGCATATAATTAATGGCTATATTTTTTAAATATCAAAATAAACAATGCTCTCACGAGTTAAGGAAAATAACATCTTAAAAGTTACGCAGGAAATTGTGCATATTATTTCTCGTTGGAAATTCTTTTAAAGAATAGGCTAAGATTTCATGCTACAACCTGAGAAGCATATTAGCTATTATAAAAGCCTGACTATGTTAAGAGTCAAGCCAAGCAGTGATTCAAAGCACTAACTCTAAAGCCAAGTAATAATGGACTCTGACAGCAAGTCACTAAATAGCCCTACAGTTTCTTCATCTGAAAAATAGAGCTAGTAATATTAACTACTTCATAGAGTTCTTGTGATGTTTTAATAAGCTAATATATTTAAAGAACACAGAATATAACAGATATTAGCCCTACTTAGCCTTTTCTGTCACTATTGCTGTATTTCACCTAAAATAAAACTATCATTAGAAGGCCCTAAAACAACTGGCACAGTCATTATGGAAAACAGCATAGAAGTTCCTTAAAAAAAAAAAATTAAAAATAGAAAAACAACTTCTGGGTGTATGTATAAATGAAGTGAGATCAGTATCTCAAAGAAGTCTCTATACTTCCATGTTCATTACTGCACTATTCACAATCAAGATATGAAAACAACCTAAATGTCAGCAGAAATGAAAGTCATGTTTCTTCAGCCTATTGTATAAACCTTTTTCCATTCTCCCCCAAGAATGAACTGAAAAGGAAATGTGATAAACACATATATCCATACATAGCATAATATTATTCAACCATTTAAAAAAGAAGAAAATTCTGCCATTTCTAACAACATGGATGAACCTGAAGAACATTACACTAAGTGAAAGAAGCCAGACACAGAAAAACAAATATTGTATGGTCACACGTACAAGTGGAACTATTAAAACTCAAACTCATAGAGAACTGTGGCTGCCAGGGCTGTGGGTGGGGAAAATGGAGAGATGCTGATTATCAAAGGGCACAAGTTTTCAGTTATATGATGCTTAAGTTTTGAGGATCTGATGTACAGCTAACAATACTATTTTGTTTACTTGAAATTTGCTAAGAGAACAGATCTTAAGTGTCCTTATCTCCCCCACAGACACACAATGGATGTGCTGATTAATTACACTGTGGTAATCATTGCACAATGTGTATGTATATTAAATTATCAAGTTGTACATCTTGAACGTACAACTTTATTTGTCAATTACACCCCCAATACAGCTGGGAAACATGATCAACAGATGAAAAGACGTATTCTTGGGGGAGAATGGAAAAAGGTTTATACAATAGGCTGAAGAAACATGACTTTCATTTCTGCTAAGTTCTCAATCAGTGTTTGCTAATTTCATGAGCAAGTGAAGACAGGCCCAAAATTAGTTAAAATAAATCAGTTTTTGAAAAGTGCAAATCCTTTCAATCTAATACAGAAAGTTAGTAGATTTAGTAGTTAAAAGAATAACCAGAACACATATGACTCTTTAAAAAGTCTGCTTTTATGAATACTTTTTTCAAAATTTTGACTGCCTCTACTAAGGTAATTCAAGCACTTAGACTTAATTCAGGAAAAAAATAAACCAGGACACTAATAATTTCAAGTACATAGTAATGGCCTGTAAGTCTATACTAGGTGTTAGAACACAGGTATTATCATCCCCATCTTAAAGGTTAAAAACAGGCTCAGAGAAACAATTTAGCCTAAATCACAGAACTATGCAGAAGACAACGAAACAGATTGTCTCTATGTCTCAAACACCTATACTCTTTCCACAAGGTACAATGTTGTCTCAACCATAAAGCTACCTTTCCAAATCCAAGCTGGTAAGTAATCAGGAAGAATACTTGCTCTAAAGCAAAAGTTCTCACTATTGGGACAATTTTGCCCCCCCCAGGAGATAAAGGACAAGGTCTGGAGACAGTTTCAGCTGCTACCACTGGAGAAGTGCTACTGACATCTAGTGGGTAAAAGCCAGGAATGCCTCTGAAAACATTCTACAGCCCCCACAACAAAGAATTACCAAGCCCAAAAAGGCAACAGTGAGCTGCTTCTGACAAAATGTTTCTGAAACACTGTTCACCATGACCTAGTCAGTTCCCAAGACTGGATAAAATGCAATACAATCCACACATACACACGTATCACAAACCTTTAAGCAGACTTCAGGAAACAGTATCTCCCTCTCTAACTTGTGATATACTCTAATATTTACTTTTCCACTTCACTTTTTTCTAAGCTTTTTTTTTTGGCAGTACTGGGGTCTGAACTCAGGGCCTCACTCTTGCTAGGCAGGCACTCTTACTGCTTGAGCCACTCTGCCAGCCCTTAATACTATTTCTGATCCACAAAATCAATTTATGATTTACCAATGAATCATAGTACATATATTATAAAACAGTGCTCTATTGTAGACTCTAAAGGTTACTACTGACCATATGGTAATATACTCTGGTGTCTTCAAATTCAATGAAGAATCTTTATGGAACAAGATACACATATTCAACAGATATTAACAAACAGCAACACAGTATCTTCCATATTTTTTAAAAAGTTTGTAACTGACTTTATGTCTCAGATACTCCAAATTAACAACCTAAAATAAAACAACCTGGCTTCAAACTGATTCTCAAGTGTTGTGCCTCTTAAAGCCAGTAAATTCAAATATAGATATAAAAACACATAACAAAGTCCCGAATAATTTTTTTTAATTTTCTGTCCACTTGGTTAGACAATGCTTTCATTTAATCAAGGGAAATTTACACTCAATGAATAAACCTTAAGTGGTCAAATTTACTTGACAGATGGAAAAACCGATGACCCAGAGAAAAACTGTTTAGAGAAAAACTGTTTTGCATAAAATCATAGAGTTAGTAGTAAGTAACGAGTGAGATAAGGCAAAAGAACATGCACTTCAGAAGGGGAAAAAAAAAACT